GTGTAGAAAAGGAGTCAGGGAGAATTAAACTTAATGATAAACTCACACCTGTGCATCGATTTTTCCAACAGTTGAACCATTAGAATGAGGGACGATTGTCCCCTAATTGTCCGATGGACTCTCAGCACTAAATAAGCCCTCATGTGTTATTTATCTTGATATAAAACATGATTAAACAAACTGTCTATATCATGTTGACAAAGAACATCATGGTTTACAAGCATTGCATCCATTAACTTAGGCATTTTTTTTTGTTTGTAATCTATCCCTTTTTGATGGTGCATTGATCCTTTTGCAGAAAGGTTAATTTGGTTTTATACTCTTCACATGAAGGCTGGTTTGAATTATATGCATGGTGCAGTGTTTAAAGAGTAGCTGTGGAGCACCAGAACAAGATCTGATTCCTAATCAGGGAGACTGTCCAGAGTCCTACGGCTACTTTCACCTAAACTGTCAAAGCTTATTCAGCTCTCCTATAGTGGATCAGATTCAATCTCTGATGTGTTTCCGCTACAAACCTGGTATTTATCTCTTTTTATTATGATAAGCTCATGTTGAATCCTTTGGCTGTCTCTGTGTGCAGGGAAAAGCCCGTATTTACTCTTCACTAACCGGCATGAGATCCGGCGCATGGACTTGGTGAAGAGGGACTACAGCCAGGTTGTATCTACACAGAAGAATGCTGTGGCTTTAGACCTGGATGTGGCCAACAACCGTGTCTTCTGGTGTGACCGATTCCACAGGAAAATCTACAGGTAACTCTAGATCAGATGACCATCTGAAAAATTACCTGTTGCATGTAAACTATTCTCCATATGCATTTTGCATGTTTTATGTTTTCAGATTCAACACCATGAGGGCCCCAATGTATCAAAAGCATGAGTTCAAGCTCCTTCTTTTGCTATTTATGCAGCTGTAGATTCTTTGCTGATGTGGACCTGTTCCTGTGGACATGTCAACTTTTGTCACTTTGAGGGTGGAACCATTCTGAGAAAGTAAACTGTTCAGGATTGGCTACTTTCAGGAAATCAAGACTTTTGAGACAGTACTGTTTAATTCCTAGTTTTTGCTAGTAATCAGTGGCGGCTGGCCAATATAGGGTGCTAGGGCACCGACTCACCCACCCAATGACCCTGATTAAGACATAAAAAAAAAAATATA